CGAAGTTGCACTCCAATATACTATAGACACATTATTGTGATTTTGACTCATCAAGCATATTAGAAACATTATGTTTTATTTATATATTGCAATTTTCTGATTTTCTGCACTGGGTTAAATTGTATGTTGCTTTTGAACTGATAGGAACCCCAGTACTTCTCCTCTTGGTGGTTGAAATAACCTTTCTACATGAAAGAACTTGGAATTTGAACCGTGGATTGCATGACTCCTCTTTTTGTGAATATTGTTTTTGGATTATAGCTGAATATTGCACTTCAAAATTTTGGATTTGCCTTCAATTATTAATGAGTATCAAATCAAAATACCTTTAAAAAGATACTCCCTCCGTGCCAATTTAAGTGTTACTTCCCCTTTTGGTCTGTCCCAAAAAGAGTGCCTCTTTCTATATTTAGTAAGTTTTCCAATTCCAACATTCTACATACTAAGTTTTAAGTCCACAAGATTTAAAGGACTATACAAATTTAAATTTAAGACCGCGAGATTTCAAGGACTATACGCATCTTTAATTTAAGACTACAATATTCATTTTTAATTTAAGACTACAATATTTATTTTTAATTTAAGACTACAATATTCTAAGGTCTCCCTTTGTTTCGTTAAGTCTGTGCCCAGTCGAACTAAGATACTTAAATTGGGATGGAGGGAGGATAGTTTTTTTAGGCTCCAAAAAGTTGTCTTTTTAATGGATTTGATTCTCTCTAATAATTGAAGGCACTTCCAGAAGTTTTGAAGTGCAATGTTTAGTTATTTGGCCAAGTATACCTAGGCAGCCCCTTAAACTTGGCCTGATTTGTCAGTTAGACACAACCTTGCCACTTTCTTCTGTTAGAAGTGCATAATTGAAGGCTGTTCTAACATAATTGAAGGCACATCCTGAAGTTTTGAAGTGTGATATTTAGTTCTTTGATCATTTTATTTGGGCCTAGTATACCTAGGTAGCCCCCTAAACTTGGCTTGATTTGTCAGCTACCCACTAACTTTGCCACTTTCTTATGTTAGAAGTGCATCTCCTAAGTACCTTATCGTGACATGGCAAACAAAGTGAGTACATATTTTTTCTTTATAGTTGAGCCTAACAATTTGTTTCTTTGTCAATCACCTTCTTTCCTTGGAAGAAGTCGCTGGAGAAAAAGAAAAAGAATCCAACAGCTGGCTTGGGGATAGGAATCTGAAATCAAAGAGGGGGGGCCGGAACCCCCAACTTAAACACATAAAAATAATTTCTTCTTCACCCACAATTGATAGCTCAATGGTGATGAAGAAAAATTAGATCAAATCCGAACGAAGGAACCAGTGAATTGAACTGTCAACTTTCAATTCATTACTACTTGGGTAACAGGATGCAAAGGAGAACTTTAGGCCATGTAATCTATAAATAACCCTGGAGCTACCAAAATCAAGAATTCCTTTAACAAGTGACTATAGTAAGCAATCACAGAAATCTCAGACTTCCGCAAAATTCTAGAATGCTAAATAGGGAAATCTATATAACTATTTAGCAAGGCATAAATTAGAACAAATTTAAACCTTGCTTGGCACAACCAAATGTGATTCTAATTTTCGAATCATGTACTTCTTGCTTATAAGCCTCTCAATTTTACCTCCATCCTCGTCTTTCCCCATTGTAGAATTCAACGTTGCCTCTCTCTTTTCTAGCGTATGTGGGTTTTGGTGTTTCCCAATTTTTTTTTTATCTAATGTTATGTGTTTTATTTTTCACACATCTTTTGTCTTAGTATGACACTCGATTTTGTGGACCTGTGTTTAGGAGACATTTTTGTACCTTTTAGCCTCTTATTTTTCTTAAGTTAACAAAATTTTTGAAGAACTGGAAAGAATGGTACCTTTTTTGCTTGTGTTTATCATTTCTCTAATTAGTCTTAGTATGTACTATGTCAAGTCTTGCTTTCAGAACTATATTGATGCATAGTTGTTCATGTTGTAATATTGTGGGTCTGTTTTGCTGAAGAATGCACTTCTTGTTCAGGTAAAACTGCTGAAGTTGTTTGTGCTCCAGTTAACGAGGCCAGTGCAAAAGATAAAAATAGTAAGTAATTGTTGATATCTTGTTGAAGTTCTCAATAAGCGAAAATGTTTCTGAGTGTACCAATTTGTCAAAATAATTTTGGTTATGAAAAAAATGATGTGAACATTTTTTGTTTTAATGCCAAGTTTATTAGTACTATATACTACAAACAAATTCAACACAGTAATATAATCCTACAAACAATCTAGGATATCTAGTTCTCATCAACAATTTAACTGATTGAAAGGAAAGGGATAAGTAGCATGGGAGAACTCCTGAAACAGTCCCCAGGGCTTTGGTTAAATGTGAGAGCACAACACATGATGTATGGATTAGGTACACGTCAGGGGTAGTAACCTGCCGCAGATTAAAAGTCAGGTATTTAAGTCAAGGGTAGAGGGGTAGGACTTTATCACACCAAGCTTGGAACCCTTCGCCAATTGGCCCTTGAAGATTTCTAGGTCATTAAATAAAAACTCCCCTCAGCTAGAGGATCTAATTTAATAGCTGGAACATTAACAGTGAAAATGGCCTCTGAAACAGCTAGGAAACAAATTATCAATCAGACCCTTGAGAGCCGCCACATATCTCTGCAACAATGGATGATAAGTACTATTTGCACATTCTTTTGAGCCCCTCCTCCCCCAAATCCATTCGTTCATCTCTGAATCCCAGTCTGGCTCTTCTTTTGTTGTTTACATTTTGGCGACATTTTTCCTGATTATGCAAAGTCTATTCTATATTCAAGTTCCATCTTTACCCGAGTTTCTAGCAGCACCTTCAAGATTAAAAAATTGTCTCTAATTTTTGAGTCTAGAAGTTGGCATCATGAAAATTATTAACTCCTTTCTGGGCAAGGCAGTAGATTCTCTTCCATGATCTGCACCAAGGTTAGACTACTTTCTCAAGCATAGGAGGATTGAGCTCTTGATTGAAACTCCCAGCATCTTTTACTTCTATCCTCCTTGGCTCAATTTTATATCATATTAATTGGCCAAATACTCTTAAGACTATCTGCACCTAAGAGAGTTTCCTACGTATGTATGATAGTTTTTAGTAGTTTTATCCTACATAGATTATAATGGTGAACATCCTTGAGATCCTCTTGTCAAATAATGCAACAACTCAGGATCCGAAAATTTTGAAGTGGTCAATGAGGTGGGCTGAGATAAAAACACTAGGTGTCTTTCCATCTGTCTAAGCCTTTGGTGGACAGAGTTAACTTGGCATTTGTTGCTGGTGGAAGGTAGATGGAATTAGTCAAGGTGCGTCAAGTTGGCTCAGACACTATAGTTATCCAAAAAAATAAGAGATCCTAAAATTTTGAGTTGTTAAACTCGTCGGGTCATAATACATTTGCAATATAATTGAGTTGGTCCAATTCCAACAGTTAAACTTTAAACATGCTGTCCTATTTTGCCAATTAGAAGAGCTTTTGATAACCAACCCCCAAAGAAGAAAAAAGAAAAAAGGAAAACTGGAACTAGCCCTTTGCTCTTTTCTGCTATCATGATAATAGCTGTTAATTGAATACAAGTTAGAAGGTTGTTATGACAGTATGACTTGTTAATATAAATGTTTGCTTCTGCCTTACAATGTTGGTTACCTAGTTGTCACCAGAATCAAAATTCTGTTACAGTATGTGGCCTCATTCACTGTATTTCATCTTTTCCTGCAGAAGATCTGGTTGAGAATGGCTTTGATAAAGAGGGTCTCGATAGTACCAAACTGAACCAGAGACCTAATGGTCTCCACGAAGGGCAACATCTCCGAAAAGGAGGATCTTCCATTACCCTTACTGGCCATCGAGCTGGTGAGGCAGCAATTGTTTATGAACATGGGGCTGACATTGAGGCTCTGATGCCAAAGCTCTTGCATTCCGATTATTACACAGAGCCACGGATTCAGGAATTGGCAGCCAAAGAAAGAGCTGAACCTGGGTTCTGTCGCCGTGTGAAGGATTTTGTGGTTGGAAGACATGGGTACGGTAGCATCAAGTTCATGGGGGAAACAGATGTTCGTCGTCTTGATCTTGAGTCTCTAATTCAGTTTAACAATCGGGAGGTGATAGTCTATATGGATGAAAGTAAGAAACCTCCTGTTGGCCAAGGTCTTAACAAGCCCGCTGAAGTGACACTTCTCAACATAAAATGTTTCGATAAGAAGACTGGACAACAGTATACAGAGGGTCCTAGAATCGAGAAATATAAAGAAATGCTTAAGAGGAAGGCAGGAGATCAAGGTGCTGAATTTGTGTCATATGATCCTGTTAAAGGAGAATGGAAGTTCAGGGTTCAGCATTTCAGCAAGTATTGGCTTCATGAAGACAACGAAGATGAATGTGGCGAATATTCTGATGCCTAGCGGCAGCCGGCAAGAAGAAAGTTAGACTAGCTTAATTTCTGGTATACAGGTACTTCATGTAAAGAACCCACTACCTAGCACATTTGTGGAATATGGGTTGTGCAGTTTCCCTTTTTTTCAGCTTTTGTTGTGGATTGCTGTTTTTCTCCGTTGTATTTGTTTGCTTTGGCTGGTCTTTTTTTTTTTTCATTACATCTGTTGTTTCACGAAGTGCAGTATTTTTCATTCCCCTCTTTTGTTAGATTGCAGATTTTGGATTGACGAATCGAAGCTCATCTTTTTATATGCTTAATTTAGGTGTTATTCTGTGTTTGGCTTAGGACAAAATGGTTCACTCGGCGGATTTGTCACCCTGGGGGTGGGGTGGGGTGGGTTGGACATGTATTCAATGATCTAAATATATATGCTTATGTTAACAATGATAAAAATCTGAAACATGGAGATACCAAATTTCACTATATTTCTGACTTCAAATACAATATTTGATTAATTCTCACGACACTTCATGAAAATTGTTAAAAGTGATCAAACCAAAAGAGCCAACAAACAAAAAGAAGTATAAGGAACAGATCTCATATAAAATCTACATAAAACTGAAGGGATCTATATACATCCATGACTAGGAAAACTTCCCATTATTATGAATCAACATTTTTCCCCACAATTTCGACAGGGACGACAGGTATAGAGTCCCACCATTCTTTTATTCTCCTATTTACTTTCTCATTTTCCATGTATTTCCCAATCTTTGATGTCTGTACAAAGATGCACAACGTCAAAGCCATAACAATGAACTTGAACGGAACCACTGCTAATATCACTGAAGCAACAACCATTGCTGCCATTACTAAATCTGCATGCTGTAACCACATTTCAGAAATTAGTAAACGATCCGTCATGACAAAGTATAGGCAAAAAAAGGGGAAGAATTGTTGTGTTGTGTTGTGTTACCTTTGGAGCCTTTGAAACAAATATGGACCAGATTTTCAGTAGAACTATGTTCATGCTTTGAATCAAGTCGTAGACATTTCTTAGTCCATGTTGTGCTGACACTATGTTTTCCATCGTTGTATGATCAGATCCAGTGTAGATAACTATTTTACTTGCCTTATCTAGTACGTCCCCTCTTCGTCTTGTCCATATCATCGTAGCAACTGTTCCCAACAAGAGAACTGCTATTGCTTTGCCAATCCACTCTCTGCATTCACAAACATCTATTAATGTCTTCTTCGAGCTGTGGTTCATTTTGTTCAAATAATGTATGTAGGAATTAAGATACTTACATATATATGACTATGAGTGTTGTCAGGACAAAAATGGAGGTGCATAGAGGTCGTTCCCATGTTAATACCTCTTGAATATAAGGCATTAACCTCCCGAGCTGTTTGATAAGACCCTGATTAGTACAGAAAAGAAAGACGGTCATGTTAGGATATTTCGGAACAATACAGTAGCAGAGTATAAGCATACTATTAAGAAGACGTCAATAAGTAAATCAACATGACCAAAATTTGTCCTCAACTGGCAAGTAAGCACTCCAACTTTGAGTATAGACATGTAGACAACTCAACTCGTCTCGGCCACATTGTCAGTTTCCAACTTTCAAAATGATCAACTAGACACCTCAAAATTTAATGAGCCACGTCGTTAGGTGTCCACGAGACACAGTGTGGACGAGTTAGAGTGTTTATTTGTCCGTTGAGATCAAGTTGACGTGTATAGATGAACACTTTCAAAGTTGGAGTGCTTACTTGTTAGTTCAGGCCGAGTTTAAGTGTCTACTTATGTATTATGCTTATTAAAAACTCTTCAATTCAGATTAAGTGATACAGAGTTCTAACAAATAGGGGAAGTCAAGCTTCTATACTGGTTATCTTTGTAATTTCTTACCTTTTTTCGCTTCTCCTAGCTTCATAAATCTGTAGGAGATATGATATGCATGCAATTACGTTGAATAACTCAGCAACACTTACCATAAGAACCTGGACACTATTCCCCATACCTTCCCCTTTCAGCTCCTCAACAGTAGCTTTGGCCTTTTCAATCTCCTTTGCTTCCTCTCTCGCTTGATTGATAGCATTCCCCAATGACGAGACATTGTCAGTTTGTCCAGGGATACGGTTGCTATCATCCATTTCTTTGACCATTTCGACTGGAACAGACATCCGGGAGATATTCAGGCTTCTCAAGATTGAGCTAGCACTACAAGGATGTCCAACGTCTAGTTTCTTCAGACTCTCAGCAAGCTCTTCAAGTACATAATCTCCTTTTGGTAACTCGTCTAGCAAATCGAAAATTAAGAAATTCTTGGGAACTGGTGGAGAGATCCTGAGCATTTCTCTAGCTGCATGAAGCCTTATAATTCCTAGTATTGTCCTCGCGTGCATCTCCCATGATCCTGAAGGTGAATCAACCTTAAACTTCCGTAGGAACCGATGCAAAAGTATAATCTCCTTTATAAGAGCAAGCCAATGGTCGCGCCTTGTTGAGCTTGTCATTTCTGGAAATTCCAAGAGAACAGCTTCTTCCCTAAATTATACAATGCCAAAAGAACTCATACTAGTGAACGATATCGTGCACAAACATGGTCCTTGAAGCCATATTAGCGTATAAATTGTGAAATTCCACATGAACATGGTATATTACAAGCAAAAATCATCCTTCAAACCAGCAATTCTTGAAGCCTTTTCATTTTTTCAAAAGAATCGTCCTTGAAGCATTTAAACTCATCCTTTCTACTTTGCCCAATCTCTTATAGATATCTGTTCTTTGGGGCGGAGTGGAAAAAGGGGGATTCTCAAACGCGGAAAAGGATCCGATGAAATCCAAAAGAATTTAACGAGGAGTTGTTTGAGGTGAAAATCTCATGTACAGTTCTTTAGAGTGACACTTCTTAGACAAAATAGACGAAATGAAATGAAGAAGACTCCTATTTCAAGTCTTAAACGAAATGAGTGGACTGGAATCGGCAGTATTCTATTGATAGATAGTATGGTAGAAAGATTCATCTATTTCTTCTACCATACTATTTACCATTAGTTAGATTGTTTTATAAAACAAGCGATAAATAATGCCGAAATACTTGGTCCTTAGGGAGAAGTGGAAGCTGAGAGAATACTTACAATTCAGAAGAACTATAAACTATAGCCTTGTCAAAGAGCGGAGCACCCCATGGACCTGTAGCAGCAGGTTTGATACTCTGCTCGAAATCTTCCGAAAGATTGAGCTTAAGAGCGTCTTTATAAGAAATGACTCCAGATTCCTCGAAGTACAGGGCATAGTTTGTTAATGTCAGCCTACCTAGAAACAGAAGTACCGTTAACTATAATATCATTAAAATACGAGGTCTCATAACAATGCAAAACTATAATGAAGGAAAGAGTACCAGGCCAACTTGTCCCTCCAATATGGCGCACTATTCTTTGTGAACTTGCAGTTCCTTCTACATGTATAATAAACTCGTCATCTCTCATTTCCACACTCGTTGGAGTTGCTTGTTTCTCCAAATGCTTTATGCACCTAAAGTACAGTAGACACCAAAAATTGTCAACAAAAATGATGAGGCCTAGTGCAACATTTTTACTAAAGTTGAGAGGCAAGCCATTTTAGAAACAAGAAATTATCTGCTAGAAGAAAAATTCACCATTTTTCCCCCCGGTTTTCCCAATTTGCATCTGAAGAAACATCACCATCATACGACATTTTCCCCCTCTCTCCACCCCGCCAATTATACAAGAAAGAACTTAGGTGCATAACCTATATTCACTTGAAACCGAGATAAATAACTCTTCTTGATGACAAGCAGGACCCTCAGTGGCGGAGCTAGGATTTTTAACAAGGGGGTTCAAAATCTAAAGAAGTTAACACGAACTAACCGAAGGAGGTCCGACATCTACTATATATACATAAAAAAGAAATTAACCATGTATAAATAGTACTACACCGAATGTATGCTGGCTCCGCCCCTAGGACCCTGAAGTACACATTTGATCTCAAATTCCATTTTTGGAATCTAGAACTTATACTTGGCTGCTACAACATTATTATACTAGTCGATTTAATTTTGTCGTTGATTCTGAGTCCATTCTTGCATTATAGCTCCATGAGAAATAATCTTCCAACTAATAGGAGGGAAAATAAGAGTTTAGAATAATTACTTTATAATCTCCTTCAAGAATATGTTATAAGCAGGAAAATGCATTCGATTTTCTGTAGGTGCTGTGAGAGTCTCGAAAGTACATCTTCCGTTAACAAAATCACCTACTAAATTTACGAGTGTCGCCAGCCACAAGAAAGCATGCTCTCCAACACTAGGTTTATGATCAACCTGCCAATCCAATCACTTTGATCAGTTATTTGGAGAGTGAAAGAAAACTAACAATCTTCGAGCTTTCACCTATGTCGTTATCATCTTAATTCGGAGCATAGTACTAATACGCGCATAAACAACTTGTCTGATCTTCTGTTATCTTTTGAGTAGCATAATATAACGAAACACAGTACATCTAACTCAAGGATTCGGATTTCTTACAAGGAACGGCAAGAGATCCGAGTAGAACAAAGGGATGTCATCTTGTTCCTTAGTCATCTCAGCAACGACTTTTTTCTCTTCTTTTTCTTTCGCCAACGACTCCTGTATTATTTACAAAAAATATGTAAACTACAATGTACATATCATATCAGGAAAATAAAGCATGTCATCAATCTTCTAGGACACAAAAAAGTTCCTCCTAATATTTTTTCAAATTTTAGAACTTCCATTACACAATTAACAAAATAAACTCGCGTTGATTCAACAAAACAAATGATGGTGATTAAACTAGGAAGCATGAAAGACACGACGATTGTACATGAGAGAACATACTTCATGTGTCTCTTCTTCTGTTGAACTAGGTATTTCCCATGCCAGCATCATATCAAACGTGAACCGGATAAAATCACCATTATCGATCATTTCTTGTAACTTACTACACATATCAGTGAGGGCCTTGGAGCAGCAAAACTCGACTAATTTCCTCGAATATCCCTCCATGTTAGGATCCCATCCAGCCTCAAATTCATGCACTAATTCATCAACAGCTGTGTTCAACTTCCTAACATGAAATGATCTATTAGTACTAATAACTTATTGCTGATGATTCACACTATAAATGAAGTGTGTATTCACAATTTTGTATGAAGCTTTGTAGACTCCAAAAACAGAGTTTATGACAAAACTAGAATAATTTGGTAGCTCTACCAATTTACAAAATCCATAATATATGAAAACAACAGTTCTTGCACAATACATCCCACCTTAACCTCGTCTCGAAATATATAATATCTATGTAGAAATTAAGAGGTATTTGTATAGTAAAATTAGCATACATCACCCAATGAACAAATGATCTGACTGGTCCGCTCTGGGGTGGATACTTAAGGCTCTTCTAGTGTTGCTGAGCCTGAGTTTGAATCTCAATGTTAACATGTTTTTTTTATATTTTTGACTCCGCCACTTTCAAACCCACGACCTTAAAATCCTAGATCCATCACTGGACGCACCCCAAGGATATGAAACAGTTTACTCTAATACAAGCATTAATGACAATTTCCGCTACTCAAACCATAATATGAGTTACATCATAATCATGCACCAAAAATATATTAATCTAGCCTCAACTATGAATGTTCATTTATATTATGAATATATTTCCATTTGTAAATATTTTAGAATATTTGACAATTGGCATATATAGTTCAATTTTTTAATAAAAAAGTTGAAGTTTTATTTAGCAATTGAAGTAGAATGAGAGAACTAACTTGGCACATCTGCAAATAACATCGTTGGCAATAGTTGAAAGATGCTTCTTTTCCATGGACAAATATTATTAACTTCTATGCCTATTGAGTTTCAGACGACTTTTTTTTCGGTTTAGAAATTTAGAAATGTATTTTAATTTGTCGTTACACAACATTTCATTTTTCAAAAAATAGAAAAAAAATAAAATCATATGGATAAGAGGAAATAAGTGGAGATTATTATTGGTGACACGTGGTCAACATGCAAGGACCAAATCTCTACTCATCACGTTTAAACCGACGGAGAAGAATTACGATTTTGTGACCATTTTTTTTTATCATTTATTTAAAAATGAAAGAAAACAAAACTTCCCCGCTTGAGCTAGAAATTTTATTAAGGTGTTCAAAAATAATGGTATGTGACTGTCAAAATAATATAAAAAAATATTGTCATATTTGGAGTTTGAACCAAAAACTCCTTCATTCAAATAGACATACATTATCACTACATCGAAGACATAATCCAACTTTAAATATATATTCTTTAAACGTAGAAATATATATATAATTTTCGACAAAGGGTGTCCAGTTAAACGCATCTGCTTTTAGGTGTAAAAGTATAAATCTTTTTCTTATAAAAAGATTTAAAAAAATTCATAATAAAAAAATTATTTTATTAATTTTTCTATTTTGTTGATAAATATTAATTATAGTACGTGCTTACGCGTGATCTATATCAATAAGTATACAAATTCAAAACATAAGATTAAAAGTAGCATAAAAAAGAAATTGAACTTTATTGGGTATGATACATAGATTAAGTAGCGTTACGCTACTATAAGTTCTTGTGAATTGAATTTCTTAAAGATGATAATGTATGTATTAAATCGAGTCTCAACCTTCCAAAGATACTTTTGAATTGTACTCATATGAAATTAAATTTTACAATTCACAAGAAATTAAAAGAAATTGAATCTTAGGATCATTAATGAACACTAATTCATTAGATATGCTAAAAGGTCTAAGAGATACTAATTCTATTGTCCATATCATAATATTAGGATTATGAAATTAAGAAATGTAATTTTTTTCTTTAAGGCTGACTTAATAACATAATTTTTATAAATGATCAAACTTTTACATCAAGTGAAATATTGATGGTCGTACATAACATCCCCAAGTTCAATTGAGTTTGAGCAATTAATCAATGAGATTTTCTAAGGTGCTGAAAATGTTTCAGCATGTATACCAAGTTATTTAAGTAATTCAAATATTATTGAACAACCAATTAAATAATATGATCCTCGGAAAAATGTTGAAGAACCAACCCGTTCGGACCTCGTTTGAACTCGAAAAAACCTACATTATATTTTTCTTTCCGAATTAACGTGTGTTGTTGCTCCCCAAAATACACGCAAGTGTACGTGGTCGCACAAGTAGTATAGATTATTTAAGAAACGAGTTATCGTTCCCAAGGGGCTTATGATCAACTTATATTCACTTAATTCTACAACTAAAAGTAACCAAGTAACCTTTTTAAGAGTTGATGATTTAGTTAAGTACCTACTAATAATTATGCACTAAATGAAAGTAACCGATTGTGGACAACTTTGTTAATATGGTTCAAGCAAGTTTAAAAATAATTCCAGGGCTGCAGCATACATTGAATATCATGCATCATATCATCGGCTTAGAGTTCACTTCAGTTATCAAATTACTAGTTTATAGGGTTGATAGTATGGTCCGGGTGGTTCGCCTCTCGCCGCCTACCCCAGTTAGCCATCTAACTACATCGTTGAGCGGGGATAAATAAACTAACTGGCGAGCATGTATATTTTCATCCTATTTCGTAACCAAGCAAGGTGTTCGTCTGGGGCGTCACTCCTGAACACTAATCACCTCAATTTAATGGGTAGACCGAGCTCTCTATATTCTATGGTCTATCTAACCTCTCCTCGTTCGATTTTAAGATTAGACACTAGATTTATTCTATGGTGCGCAAGCATAAGTAGTAAAAACAAGAATATAGAAGTAATTTGGATTGACAACCGAAAATCAATTCATAAAGCCTCAAACATTCAACACATAATTCATAGCTACAACCCCAGAACTAGGGCGTTTAGCTACTCATGCTATTAGAAAACAAGACAATACAATAGTTCATGCAATTTCCGGAAAATAGAAGAGTTAAAGGATTAAAACCTATTACAAACTTGAATTCTTGCCCTTGCCCACAAAATCAAAAGTTGAACTCTTATTATGGAACCCTAAGGATCTATTTATACTAGTAGGAAAAGTTGGGAACAAATCCTGCTCAAATTAGGAATCTTATTTAATGTTTAAAACTTGAAAAAGTCGGCAAAAGAGGGACGTGTCGCGCCTCCATCGTGCTTGGAAACACACTCTGAACTTTGGTGCCAGGCGCGACGCGTCTTGCAGAGCGCCAATCAGTTCCCGTTGGCGCGGCGCGCCATTAACACTCCTCTGAACTTTTGGGCCTGGCGCGGCGCGCTTGCCAGTACGCCAGGCCTAGGTGCGTCCACACTTAGCCAAATCCTGCACGCCTTTGCAAATTCCTTCCCATTTCAACTCCAATCTTCTTAAGAGTTCCTGAAACAACTAATCATGTGTGTAAGTGCAAAAACCATCACAAGTATAACAAAAATCAAGCTAATAACTAGAAATCATTCTTCAATCTAATCGACTTATGGGCAAATATTGACAACTTAGGCATATAAATATGCCTAAGATCACGTGTCATTTAATAGGTTGTTACGAACACCCACGAAAAAATAGAAAAAATACTATTTTGTATTCCGGACCTCGTTTAAACTCGAAAAAAACCTATGTTTGACCCTCCTAACCAACGCGCACCGTTTAATAAGTCGTCATGGATGCTTATGAAAAAATTAAGAAAAAAATTATCGGGCACACATATCACACAAAATTCATGGATTATAACACATGAAAAAATGAAAAAAAATCCCTATTTCTCGTTTTGGGCCTCGTTTGAACTCGAAAAAAGCTCTATTTTCCCTTTCGAACCAACGTGCGCCATTTATAAGGTTGTCACGGAAGCCCACCAAAAAATTCAGCCAAAAAATTGTCAGGCGCATATATCACACAAAATCTATGGACTATAACACACAAAATATTGGATAAATTTCTATTTTTCGTTTTGGGTCTCGTTTGAAGTCGAAAAAACCTATATTTGCCTCTCCGAACCAATGAGTGCCATTTGATAGGTTGTCACGAACACCCACAAAAAATTTATGCAAAAAAACCCATCGGATGATCAGACAAAATCCATAGACTATAAACACACAAAAAAGGGAAAAAATCCTATTTTCTATTTTGGGTCTCGTTTGAACTCGAAAAAACATATGTTCGGCCTTCTGAACCAACGCACGCTTTTTAATAGGTCATCACAGTCACCCACGAAAAATTTAGGTTGAAACCCTGGGCCCTCATATAACACAAAATCCATGGACTATAACACACAAAATAAAATGGAAAAAAAAATTCTAGTTCCCATTTCGGGACTCGTTTGAACTCAAAAAAATCTATATTTGCCCCCTCCAAACCAACGTGCACCATTTAATAGGTTGCCAGGGATGCACACAAAAAAATTTGGTCAAAAAATCGCCAGGCGCATATATCACACAAAATTCATGGACTATAACACGAAAAAATGAAAAAATTCCTATTTCTCGTTCCAGGCCTCGTTTGAACTTGAAAAAACCTACATTTTATCCTCCTAACCAATCGTGTCATTTAATAGATCGTCATGGACGTTCATGAAAAAATGTCATCGAAAAATCCATCGGATGCACATATCACACAAAATTCATGGGCTATAATACACGATAAAATGGAAAAATTCATATTTCCCATTCTGGACCTCGTTTGAACTCAAAAACCCTACATTTTCCCTTCTTAACCCACGTGCGATATTTAATAGTTCGTCATGGACGCCCACTAAAAAAAATTGGCATAAAAACCTCCGGGCGCACATATCACTCAAAAGCCATAAACCATAACACACAAAAACACATAATTTTATTTTTAAACACTTTTAGAATATTTTTGATAGTTTATGTAACAATTGATTCTATAGAAAATATTTTCAAAACTATAATCAATAAGGGAGATTTAAATATTTGTTTTGTTATGTAACATACAATAATTTATATATATTTATTTTTGTCTTACAAAATATTATAAGAAATGTTATATTGTTTGTGGAAAAAGAAAAATTAATTATTAAATTATAATCAATTACAATATTTTTTATAAAATTTATGAGAGTAAAATATATATAAAATAATAAAGACAACAATTACAAGAAATGTTATGTAACATAAAATTTGTCCAACTGATTAATCTATCCTTAGTTCTCATCCTTCCAAGTAGTTCTCATCGTTTTTACTTTAATTTTGAGTATAGGATATCGTAGGAGATATAGTTGTTGTCTTTATTGTTTTTATTGATGACAAATTTAAGATAGATGAATAGAAAAAATTTAAAATTGCTAGAATGACTAACGAGGAAATACAACTGCACATCAAAAAAACAAAATTTGACATGTTGTGTCTTTAAGATCATGCGAGAGAGGTTTATATTTTTCTCTTTTTATCATATATTTATCTTATTCTATTAATTTTTTGATTGATTGATCTGTTTTCTAACTTTTCTTTTGACATTTAGGGAATTTATATGGGTAGGTGCTATCAAGAAAAACTAGTGCTACACTGATTTGGCAGATGATATCCACGTGCTATCAAGAAAAACTTGGATTTTGAGCAATTTGGTATTCTTTTCTCAAGAAAGACAGTCTTGGATGATAAGATCTTTGGCTTGTAATTTCTTTTTGTTGGAGTTTAATGTTTCTGGTGCTGTTTATCTTTACTAGATGAAGTTTGCTGACAACTTAGATTATGATGTTAATGTCGTTAATTAGCTCTATTTTAGTCAAACTAAAACACTTCGTTTCCAGCACGACAATTTAGGATCTGGTCAATCAACATGAGTGAATATGCTACAAATTACTACTTGTCGTTTGGCTGCTCGTTGTGTAATATTAAAGGTAGCATGTTGCGGTCAAACTGGAGTGGTACGTACTGCAAACTTTTCGCATGGTGTGAT